GGTCAGAACCAGAATCCCATGGGCAGGTACTGGTTAGGGCGGGGTCAGGCAGGGCTCAAGCCAGGGCCACCTAGGCCAAGGGCCAGGACCAGGGACAGGGCCAGGGCAGTCAGGGTCAGGGGCCGGGCCAGGGCCAATGCCAGGGCCAGGGCCAGGGTCAGAACCATTTTTGGCCAAGAGCCCTGCCTGCCCCCAACAAAACGGCCCCTGGTCCCCTCAGCCCAGCGGAGGGGGGTGAGGGACCAGGGCTCTCAAGGGCCGTTCTAGGGGGCCCTCCAATGCAGGACCCAACCAGGAGCTTGGGGTTTGGGGTAATATAATATAATACAGTGACAACTGCGCTGACTCGGCCTGTGCCTGCCTGGAGGGTAAGCCAGCCTGAAGGCCAGCTCGGTCGCCCGCCTGGGGCTCCCTCGCAGGGTCTCACTGAGCGCGCCTACCCCCAAAAGACAAGAGAGTGGGGTGGCGGGCGGGTTTAGGGTTTAGGGTTTAGGGTTTAGGGTTTAGGGTTTAGGCTGTTCGGCATGCGCCTAGGATGCGGTTTGGGGGTTTCGACATTAGGGGTACCTGGTTGGGGTCTTGTTAAAAGGGAATCCTACTCCTTAAGGATCTATTTTTGGGGTCCCTTATTTTCGTAAACCCACATTTAGGGTTCAGGGCTTCGGGTCGGACCTTGTCGCTGCTTGCAAGGGCTTCGTCTTGGGATATGTCGGGATGAACGTGAGAGAAATTTAGTTCCCCAACTGAGCGGGAAGGGGGGGGGGGGGGGGCAGGGTGCAACGCCTTAACCCTAAACCCTAAACCCTAAGCCCTAAGCCCTAAGCCCTAAGCCCTAAGCCCTAAGCCCTAAACCCTAAGCAATGGCATGCATGTCGCCAGTGGTTCAGCCCACCGCTTCCCAAGCGGCGGAAACCCCACACATGAGCAGGTAGCTCGCCCTTCTGACTTCGGCCTTCTGGTTTAGGGTTTAGGGTTTAGGGTTTAGGGTTTAGGGTTTAGGGTTTAGGGTAGCCCCACGAAAGACTACGAATTGCTTAAGAACCCCCAAAAAAGGAAGAATGTTCTTCCCAGGGTATTACGGTTTTTTTTTTCAGAGGTTCTTAAACAAATAGTAGAAGAAGGTGACAAAATGGAGGCTGTGCCTTTGCATCTTCTGCACCTGCTTGCTTCGGAACCCCTCCCCCCCATAAAAAACACAAGAGCAATAATAATAATAATAAGATTCTTCCTTAGAAGGGCATCCAAGCGATTATTATTTATTTATGTGTTTTTTTGGGAGGGCCTTCAAAGGCCCTGAGCCAAGACCTACGACCCTAAAAGCTCCAACCCTCCAAGAACCCCCAAAACCCGGCATCCGGAACCCGAAGCCCTGAACAAAACTAAATCTCGGGATGTCCCCCTTAGGGACTGGGTAGGTAACCTTTAACCTTCTTGCTGGTTAGATAAAAACCCCACCATCTATAGAAGGTTAACCTTTTTGGGGCAAGGGTATCAGCCCCTAAGAAGGTATTATAGTACCCCCTTGCTATAATCCCTATTCAGGACTGTTCGTATATCCTCGATAGGGATCCCTTATGGTCATGCCTATTCAGGACTGTTAGTACAAGGGTGAACATCCCAAAAGAAACCCTAACTAAGGGACCCCGAATCTAGACCCCCAAATAGTAAACCCTATAAACCTATCACCCTAACCCCTCAACCCCTCAAAATTTGGAGGTCCGACGCCTAAACCCGAAACCCCAAACCCTAAACCCTAAGCCCTATAAACCCTATAACCCTAACCCCTCAACCCCCGAAAAATTTGGAGCCCAAGGTTCCTAGTAGCGCCAAACGGCCGGTGGGAGGGCTTCGCCCTGCAAGGCGGCATGGGGGGGAGAGGTTTGGGGCTTTTTGTTTGGGGGGGGGGGGGGTTTAGGGTTTAGGGTTTAGGGTTTAGGGTTTAGGGTTTAGGGTTTAGGGTTTTAGGGTTTAGGTTTTTGGGGCTTTGTGTTGGGGGGGGGGGGGGGTAAGGGGTTTGGGGTTTAGGGTTTAGGGCAGTTTAGGGTTTGGGCTTCCTCAGTCCGTGCTACAAAAAGGGTTAGGGCCGTTTAGGGTTTAGGGGGGGTTGGGGGTTGGGGTTTTCGGGTGTTCATGCAAACGGGTTGATAGGGTTGAAGGCGCACGGGTGTCGGGGAGGGAGCAGAAGCGACTGCGATAAAGTTAAATGGTGACACGGGCGTCCGGCGAGAGACACAGGCCCCGCCAACAATGAGCCTTCACACTTAAGTAGCTGAGTAAACCTTTAACCTTTGGGCTCAGGGTACTCAGCAACTTGGTTCACGCGATCGGCCAGTCGGAGAAAAGTCCCAAAATGAAGAATTTGCCAACTACGCCCGCCGGCGATCCCGGAGGCAGCAACTGCTGTCTGACTTCACTTTTCAAACCCTAAGCCCTGTAGTGGTTACCTGCATGGTTTTTTTTGGGGCACTGGCATATGAATCCTGGAGCCCCTCAAAGCCCTCCTATGCCCTGAGCCCTGCCCTAAACCGTAAACCCTAACCCTAAACCCTAAACCCTAAACCCTAAACCCCAAACCCTAAACCCTAAACCCTAAGCCCTAAGCCCTACAAGCCCTGAACCTGTAGGTGAGGGTTTCGGGTTGGTGGGCTGGAGGGCTGTGGCGGCTCCGGAATCATGTCCCGCGCCCTGGGTTTGGGGTTTAGGGTTTTGGGTTCAAAAGGGCTTAGGGTTTAGGGATTTTAGTTCAGGATTTTGGGTTCAAAAGGGTTTAGGGGTCAGCGGCCCCAAACCGTAAGCCGTGTGGAAGAAGTGTCTAGGGCTCATGCGGAAGGAGCGGAGCCAGTGGGAGGGCTGCCAGGGAAGTGGCGCCCTGGCTGCTTATGCGTTTAGAGTTTAGGGCCTCATGTGCTTTGGGAACCTTGCGCCTATTCTTTTTGTCCCAAGGTGAAACCTTTCCCCTTCCCCCTTATACTAACAGTCCTTAGTATGGATTAGAGTATCCCCTATTACAATCTCTAGTAAGGACTGTTAGTATAAGGGGGCACATCCCAACTTTTCCCCTTTGCAGCTCTGCCAGTAGGGTCAGCTACGGCAGATACGGTCACAGGGGTTGAGGGTTGAGAGGCGTTGCTTGTGGGCTTCTTGGGGCTGCATCGCCGTCTGTGCACAAAAAAACGTGGATCAAGGTAAAGGAGCGGCTAAACCAAAGCTTCGGGTCTTTTAGGGTCTTGAAGCAGTGCTGAGCGATAGCTGCACGAGGAAGATAGGCCTGAAACAGGGATGCCCACTTGTAACAATGTTGCCACGCGAGTTTTGTGGATGCCATCGATGGCCTTGCCCCATTGAATGGTGGGTTCATAGAGCAGGTGCAACCGGATCATGTATAGGTGCCCTAAACCCTAAACCCCAGTCAGCTAGGACGTGTAGCCCTATGTTGAGGGTACCTAGAATTCAGGAAGCTTAATTCGTTGGTTGCATCATATCGTGCGAAGGCGCACCATGATGACGAGAAGCCCGCAACTGCATTTAGGGGGCTGTTTTGGGTTCTTGGGCCCAGGGGCATGTTAACTACCCGGAGCACCCGCCAGACTCACTTAAACCTAGCCCTACACCCTATGGACCTACCCTGTAGACACTATAATTAAACCCCCCAAAAACCCATAAAACCCTATAAAACTCCTATAATATAAAACCCTCAATATACCCTACAAAACCCCATAAAAAACCCTATAAACCCTCTTGACCCACAAGTACCCCCAAGATCACCCGAGGCTCAGCAAGGCGATCTTGTGCGTCGACTGCTCGGCCAGGCTGCCACCGAGCCTAGGGGCTCCTTGGCCTTGGTTTAGGGTTTAGGGTTTAGGGTTTAGGGTTTAGGGTTTAGGGTTTAGGGTTTAGGGTTTAGGGTTTAGGGTTTAGGGTTTAGGGTTTAGGGTTTAGGGTTTAGGGTTTAGGGTTTAGGGCGAAAGCACCACCCAAAAAAAAGAAAAAAACATCTTCCTCATAAGGCTAGTATAGGGATTATTAGCTCTATTTTGTGGGGCTCTCAAGCAAATAGTAGCTTTGGCGTGTAGTTTTTTGGAGTGCGTTTGCGAGCTTGGGATCTAGGGTTTTGGGGGTTTAGGGTTTGAGGGTTTGGGGTTTTAGGGTTTTAGAGTTTTTGGGTTCTCGGGTTCTCGGGCTTTCGGGTTTTTCGGGTTCTCGGTTTTCGAGATCTCGGGTTTTCCGGTTCTCGGGTTCTCGGGTTCTCGGGTTCCGTGTTCCGGGCTCCAGGTTGTTCTGGTGTTACGGCTCAAGCCATATCTCCCATACCCGAAACCCTCAACCCTAGAAGCCCCATAAACCCGAAGCCCTAAACTCCCTAACCCGAAACCCGAAACCCTAAACCCTAAACCCTAAATCCACACGCTGTAGTGATGGGTTGTTGCGGTGCTGTGGCCTGTCTCATTGTTGGGATCCATGTGGTTGTTGGGCTTGCTATGGTGGTAAACTCGGAGCCTTCAGCCACTATGCCCCCAGGGCCGTGTACAATTGCGCGGTCAGCTTAAAGCCTCTGCTGGGAGGAAGGTAGACAATGTCTGCAAGACGTTTTCGATCAGTTTTTGGAAGAGTCGATCTGACTCCTTGTCCAGACGCCTCTTGTGTCGAGGTGTTTTTAATCTAGACCTGATGTGTGCCTGACCTGGACTTGGAGCTAGTTCGAAGGTGGACTCCTGTAGCTGTCACTGTACAAAAGCTTGGCGATGATGGGGGGACAAGGCAACGTAAGAAAGTCTGTTTTGAGTGTGTTTAAGCTGTTGCTTGTTGGACTCTAGATAGATCTGTGGTTGTCTGGTTACGTTTCCCATATGTACTCCCATACATGCGAGCCAGATGGCGGGATTTCTGCCTGGACTGCGGACTTGTCATGGCACGCTGAGACACACAGGGGGAAGTTTGACTCCTAATCTCTTATGTTTGGGCTGGTCGTAGGTGAACAAGTGCTGTGTGTCTGCGAAGCCATGAATGAAACCCCGGGGAAACCGCACCTGCTTTACATCGCTTTGGTGGTTAGTGTAGCGTAGAGAGTTCCCCGGGGGCCAACTATACGGGTCTGATGAGCGCTGCCGATTTTGAGGTAGCATCAAGGCTTTTCTCCTCTGAGACCATGGGGGATGGAGTTCTGGGAGTTCTGTTGCTAGTCGGGGTGTGACTTTGCTGTTTTGTCTGATGGGATGCTCCGTCCTCCCCAAAATGGTCCCCCATTTACGCTAACTTTAAAAGCGCCTCAACCTCGAACGAACAGTATTGCCGGTATTAGTCCCTGCAACGTGGCCTGAGTGTCAGCTAGGCGGGTGGCAAAAAAAAAACCCTAAACCCTAAACCCTAAACCCTAAACCCTAAACCCTAAACCCTAAACCCTAAACCCTAAACCCTAACCATAAACCCTAAACCCTAAACCCTAAACCCTAAACCCTAAACCCTAAACCCTAAACCCTAAACCCTAAACCCTAAACCCTAAACCCTAAACCCCAACCTCAAAGGCCTCAACCCAATCTCAGGAGAAGTTGGTTCGCACCTGTCGAGAGCTCCAGGTGCAAAGCAGGTGGGGGCCCAGGGTTGAAGATCAGGGTTTAGGGTTTAGGGTTTAGGATTTAGGGTTTAGGGTTTAGGGTTTAGGGCTACTTGGAGGTTCATTGGGAGTTCAAACTGGGGTTTTAAGTAGGGTAACTATACTCATAATTGGTTATAACCTTATTCAGGGTGCCTAAAGCCCTACTTTTCACTGCCCATGAAGGGGTTTGGGAGGAGGTAGCAGAAAGAAGCTCGAATGCCTTGCAATAGCCTCAGCCACAAAAAGCCCTTGAACAAAAAATCCTAAGCTCAACCCTGCGTCAGCCAGTATGTTCTCAAGTCCCAGAGTGCCTAGGGCGCTGAACTTCAACCCGAATCCCTAAACAATCCAAAGACCCAAACCCGGGCTTCAAGAAAATGCTTTCATGGGGGTCTTAACAGGGGCCTTGCGGGGGTTTACGAAGGGGGCTCTTCTGTTTGTCCATCTGCAGGGTTAGGGTTTAGGGTTTAGGGTTTAGGGCTTAGGGCTTAGGGCTTAGGGCTTAGGGCTTAGGGTTTTATGGAGTTTGCTCGTGCTTGCAAGGGTTTAACGAGTTTCGGGTAGCCGGCATTGCCTTCAGCCCGTGGTTCAACAGGGTTTACGACTACTTGCTTAAAAAGCCCCCCCCCCCAAAAAAAAAAAAAAAAAAAAACTTAAAAACAATGATAATAATAAAACATGAAAGATGTTCTTCCTTTTTAGGGCAATCTGGGGATTGTCATCTTTTATGTGTTGGAGGGTTCCTAAGCAAATAGTAGTCTACCCTAAACCCCAAGCCTTAAACCCCAAACCCCAAACCCTAAACCCCTAAACCCCTAAACCCTAAACCCTAAACCCCAACACACACCAAACCCCCAAACCCCCCAAACCGCCCTGAAGCACCTGTGCCAGGGGCCGCAAGGTGAGCAACCACGGCGGCTGGCAAAGCCAGGATCGGGTTTAGGGTTTAGGGTTTAGGGTTTAGGGTTTAGGGTTTAGGGTTTAGGGTTTAGGGTTTAGGGTTTAGGGTTGAAAGTAGAGAGAGCCCTCGTTGAAGAAGGGTTGAAAGTTGGGGTTTTATAGGGTTCAGGTTTTGACCATCTGCTTGAAGCTTTGGATGTAAGGTAGGGCTCGGAGTACCCTAGTACCCCCCCGATTATAGTCCCGATTAAGGACTGTTTGTATCAGGGCGAACATCCCAAGACCCAAAACCCCAAAGTATAGGGTTGCCGGGGGTTTAGGGTTTAGAGTTTAGGGTTTAGGGTTTATGGTTTCCGGACCGGCTCCTCAAAGCAAACAGAAGCGAACCCTAACCCCTAGCAGGCTTAGGGTTTAGGGTTGGATCGTGACTTCTATAAGGGTTTTACATGAAGAGCCCACGAAAGAGTAGGCTCAGGGGGTTTAAACCCGTACCCCTAAGGTTGTGCCCCCAAAGGTTTCCTTGAATACACGAATACACGCCCAGTATGGCCCTTATACTACCTCAAGAATCTTTACAAAGAGCCTCGGAAACCCAAGGTACTCCCTTCGGGGTCCGAGGTAGAGTCACTTGATAGGTTTTGGGTTCTTAAGAAAGGGTTTGGCGGTGGGCGGTTTTAGGGCTCCGCAGCCTCTTGGAATTAGCAGCCCTTTTTTGGGCTCTCCCGCAGGCTACGCGCAACCAAGCCTGAACTCTCAACCCTAAACCCTGAAGAGCCTCAACCCGAAACCGCGGCAACCTTAACGCGCAAGCCGAGCACAAGACCATGAGGCTGTGTGCTTTCACAGGTCTCAGGTTTTTTTTGTTTTTTTTTGGCTGTTTTTAGAATGCCATCCCCCACCCCGGTTTAGGGTTTAGAGTTCAGGGATGTTGAGTGTTTAGGGTTCAGGGTTAGGGTTTGTTAGGGTTTAGGGTGGCTAGGGGGGCTAGGGGCGCTAGGGGCGCTAAGGGCGCTAGGGGCGCTAGCTAGGGTAGGAGATCCCAACTTGCGCCCTCCGCGGAGGATCTTCCGGTGGATGCCGAGTTGGGTGAGTGCCGAGACTATCACAAGAGTTTTCTGGAGGTTTGAGCCATGTTTTCCCCTATTTGGCTAAGAGTACCCTATTTAGGAAGTTTTTTTCAGAGGGGTGGAAGGGCCATCCTATTGTTTCTTCCAAAGGCGGCTTAGGGTTTCGGATTTTTCTTGATGCCAACCTCGATCCTTAAGGCCCGCAGCCCGAAACCCTGTGCGCATTGATATGACCGGCGCTTCGAGGGTGGCTATTGAGATTGCCATGCTTTTACTACGTGTAGGGCTCGGGGGCTTGGGTTGCCCATAGACCCTAAACCCTGGAACCCCGAAACCTTGGGATGTTCCCCCTTAGACTCACAGTCATTCATAGGGCTTGCAATGGTGGGTACTACCATCCCTTTGAAAGGACTGTTAGAAAAAAGGGGGAACATCCCAAGCTAAACCCCCAAACCCCTCAAGTTTCTGGTGGCCCCTTGCGGTCATCTCCAGCTTTTTGACACAGGCTTTGTAACCACAAACGCAAAGTCCACAGCCCGCCTGTTTAGTTGCGCAAGCTGTCAAACTAGGACAAACCCACCAAACCCCCAAACCCCGCTAAGCTCCAAGCTCCTCCAAACCCCCTAAACCCCCTAGATCCTCTATCCTAATCCCCCAAACACCCTAGACACCCTAAACCCTAGCCCTAAACCCTAAACCCTAAACACCCCAAACGCACTAAACCCTAAACCCCCTAAGCACCCCAAACCCTCAGCCCTTAAAGCCCTGAGGCTCATGGATGCTGTCCAGGGCCCCGCAAAGGCATACCTGGAAGCCATGGGCTGGCAGTATCCGGAGGAGGACCTCAGCTTTGGGACTAGGGTTTAGGGTTTAGGGTTTAGGGCTAGGGTTTAGGGTTTAGGGTTTAGGGTTCAGGGTTTAAGGTTAGTTTAGAGGGTAGGAGGATCAGCCTTGGGACTAAAAACGCCCCGGGCCCTAGGCGCGAAGCCCAAGCCTACGATTTTGCTTAAGAACCCAAAAAAACAACAAACGAGGATTTTCTTAAGAACCCCAACCAAAACAACAAACGAGGATAACCATTAGGAGGGTTACGGGTTGAGGGTCGACTACGACCTGGAGTAGGCCCTCATTCCCTTTTTTTAAGGCCCTTAGAATCCTCTTAAAACCAAAAAGGGCACCCTGTTTATTTATTCCTAGGTTACTCTTGGACGCTCAACACTAAACCCTAAACCTTGGCACAGATCAATGTCGACCACCGTCGAACACTTCGGATCTCTCAGAATCAGGACTTTGCGAGCCCTGTGGTCACAGCTCCACCGCCCAAGGCGCAGTCGAGATTGCCCAAATGGCTGCTACCGATCCTGGAAGGCTCCCCTTGCCCTTTCGCCAGTTTAGGGTTTAGGGTTTAGGGTTTAGGGTTTATCATCAGGAGCCTTTTCGGCAGCCCGGCCGGCCAACGAGCCAATCGCACGTCGCGGCCACACAAGAAGCACATGGCCACCTGGACATCCTTCCGCGTGACCTACAGGAGGTCGTCAAAGGTTGGAAAGCAGCCCCCAAGTGGAGGAGAAGCTTGTTGGGACCCCCCCCATGGTTTTAGGTTTTGGGTGTTGGCTGATGTTTTAGCACTGAGGAGGGGGGACCCCGCTCTGAGTTTCAGAAGAACAGTACGCACAGACCGAGCTCCTTTGTTCCTCCTTTTTTTGGGTTGTGTCGACTTTTAAGCTTTGTGTGGGTTTTAGGTTTTGGGACCTGAGTGAATTCAACAAAGGAGGACTTTCCCTAAACCCTAAACCCTAAACCCTAAACCCTAAACCCTAAACCCTAAACCCTAAACCCTAAACCCTAAACCCTAAACCCTAAACCCTAAACCCTAAACCCTAAACCCTAGTCAGTCAAGATTTGGTTGCCCAGTCGGCCCAAAAGCCTATCGAGCTCGAGGAGGCCGCCGACGAGAGCCTCGAGGTTGCCATTCTGCCAGACAGGTGGGCTTGGGTTTAGGGTTTAGGGTGTCGGGTGTTGGGTGTTGGGTGTTGGGTTTAGGGTGTAGGGTGTAGGTTTGTACCAGCAAGCTATATGTAGCCCAAGCTTGGTTTTGAAAAAAACCTTGCCCTGAGCCCAAACTTGTCTTTCGAGGTCCCCGAGCCTTCTTTTGGAGAAATACCCAAGCAAGTTTGGGGTTTGGGGTTTGGGGTTTAGGGTTTAGGGTGGCAGCCGCGTATATAGTCAATACTAGAGGCTGAGCACCTCTGAGCGCAGGCTCTGGGCGAATATCAACCAGCCTGGCGATTGGAACGCGCGGCATACTCATGGCAGCGCCTTGGTTAGGGTTTAGGGGTAGGGTCTAGGGTTGGGGTTTAGGGTGTAGGTTTAGGGTTTAGGGTGTAGGGTGTAGGGTTTAGGGTTTAGGGTTTAGGGTTTAGGGTTTGCGTGGTGTAGGGGTTTCAGGTCCGAGGGCTGGTGTAGGTGTGCCAGTGTGCCTGCAGGGGCGAACACTCTCATCTGCTATATTTGGATTCTAAACCCTCTACCCTACACCTAAAACCCTAAACCCTATGAAGAGGTCTTTGCTAGATTTTCGAAACCCTAAATCCTAAACCCCTCAACCCTAAACCCTACATTTGGGAAGGTACGGGGGCCACCTTAATTGAGAATACTACTCGGGGCTGGCCACGTGGCTGTTGATGGTTCAGGGTTTTATGGTGTAGGGTCTGCAATTCGGCCCCCCTCTTTTTGGGCACCTTAAGACCTCTTGCGGAGGGTTTAGGGTTTAGGGTCCAGGGCTTAGGGTTTAGGGTTTAGCGCTAGAACTACGCCCCCTTTATGCATCCAGGACCCACGGATGCACTTTTCGCCTCCGGCGTGTACTATCCGCGCGTGTCGCCGAGGACCCCGCCAATTTGGGCACAGAGCCTTTAGGGTTTAGGGTTTAGGGTTTAGAGTGTAGGGTTTAGGGTTTTGTTTGTAGCGTCCTTGTGGAGGATATGCTGAGTTGTTGTTTACGTGAAACACCCACTGAGTGTGCCCTGCATCATAAGACTATATACATATGTATGCATGTATGATATATATATATGTGTCCCTAAACCCTAAACCCTAAGGAGATGGCAGAGAGTGCAGAAAACCCTAAGGAGATGGTGCTGTAGGAGCCCTGAGCCCTAAACACACAGATAGTTGCCTTTGGGAAGGGGGGGGGGTGAGAACCTGCGGAGATCATCCGTTCTTGGGCCCGGTGTAGGGTTTAGGGTTTAGGGTTTAGGGTTTAGGGTTTAGGGTTTAGGGTTTAGGGTTTAGGGTTTAGGGCTCATCGTTGACCCTGAAGGCACCGCAGGTCCATGCAACCCCCGGCAGGGACCACTATAGAACTGACAATCTAGCCCCCTAAACCCTAAACCCTGAACCCTGAACCCTGAACCCTAAACCCTAAACCCTAAACCCTAAACCCTAAACCCTAAACCCTAAACCCTGAACCCTGAACCCTGAACCCTGAACCCTGAACCCTGAACCCTGAACCCTAGCCCACAAGGGCGGGGAATGAAAGCATGGAGCAACTAAAGCCCCGAACCCCTGAACCCTAAGTCTTCTGAGCCCTGAGTGCCTCATCCGCTGGGCCAGGTTGGCTTTTGGGTTTAGGTCCTAGGGTTTGGCGTTTTAGTTCTTCTTATTTGAGTTCGCAGGTAGTTTGCAAAGGGTTATGCAGGCAACCCAACAAACCCAATAACTCCAAAACCCTAAACCCTAAACCCTAAAAACTCTGGTAGGACCAGCGCTGCGCGACCTGCTCGGCTGGTGATCTTTCCACCCGACAGCGACCCAGTAGCTGTCACGCCGGCAGTTCGGCAGCGTTTGGGGAGGGCTTGAGGTGGGGGTCTAGGGTTCAGGGTTCAGGGTTTAGGGTTTAGGGTTTAGGGCTAGGGTTTAGGGTTTAGGGTTTAGGGTTTCGGGTTTAGGGCGGTAAGGGACTGCTTGCACAGTGCTGAGGCTTGGCCTCAGCTCTGGTGGCTCAAAGGAGTCCAGAGTTCAGGGTTCAAGGTTTCCGTGGGGTTTGGAGTTTAGGGTTTAGGGTTTGGGGTTTGGGGTTTAGGGTTTAGGGTTGGGGGGGGGCTCCTGACTCAGGAAAAAGTGTCACTAAACGGACACCAAGCTGTTTTACCGAATCCTGTAAGATCAATGTGCTTGCAAAACCCTTGAGGGTTTACGGCTAGGGTTTAGGGTTTAGGGCTAGGGTTTAGGGTTCAGGGTTTAGGGGTTTAGGGTTTAGGGTTTAGGGTGCTCCCGGAGCCCACGGTCCCACCCCCTGAGAGGCAACGGGGCTGATGGTGCTTTTCCCCGTGGACATGCCGCACGAGGTCCCTGGCAGGACTTTTTTGGGATTTCCTCGACCCTAAACGCCCTAAACCCTAAACCCCCTATGTAAACCTTCCTTGGTTTCTGCAAAGCACACAACGCTCCCTCCCGTAATCTATGTCACCCTCCGGGTGTCACGTTCGCAGCCCGAAAGCCGAAACAGGAACCCCGGCACCTTTCTCGCAAATCTTGCACGCAAAGAAACCCTGAACCCTAAACCCTGAACCCTAAACCCTGAACCCTAAACCCTAACCCCTGAACCCTAAACCCTGAACCCTAAACTCTAGAACTTTCAACTCCATGTGCCACGTAGGTGATCGGTCTGGTCCGGTTCGCCTCTTATCTTCTCTCGAATTCTTTCCCGGCAACGAACCTTCCTGGGCTTTAAGAGAATCATGACCCCATTATTGGCAGAAGAGCTACCCCAAAATTAAACAGACATTCATTCTTCCACATGAGAGCAATATAGGAATCATTCTCTTTTTTTTTTTTTTTTTTTTTGGGGGGGGGTTCTTAAGCAAATAGTAGGACCCGGAGTCTTTTCATAGTTCCTTTCGGAGGCTTATGGGGTTTAGGGTTTAGGAGTTTGTTGGGCTGTTTTGGGATGTCGCATTTTTCGATGTGTGGGGCGGGCTTGGCTTTAAAGGTTTCAGGCCGACGGTTTGAAGTTTTGGGGTTTCGGGGTTAGAGGGCTTAGTGGTTGAACCCTAAACCCTAAACCCTAAACCCTAAACCGAGGCTTTGGGGTTACAAGTCCAAGAGTCACTGTCCGGCGCCAGGTTCAAAGGAGCTTCGGCGGTTTAGGGGCTTAGGGGTCCCAAACTTCTGCAGACCAGTGGCAAAAAGGGCCCCAGTCCTTAAACCCTAAACCCTCAACCCTCAACCCTAAACCCTAAACCCTAAACCCTAAACCCTATCATCAGAATCGGTGAGTCCTGGTGAAGTGTAGGCTGGGGACCACACATGTAAATGACGCAGACCTTCAGTAGAAGCCAGTGGGTCCGAATTTTCGAGACACGTTCAACGGATCGCGTCCAGTCCCGGTAGCCTCGACTCGACCCTGCGGAGCAGGGCGCCTGATGGTGTGTGCAGTGCTAAACCCTAAACCCTAAACCCTTCCTATACACGATGTCCAGCAGGTCGAAGCCTCTCCCCGCGGAGCCGACGATCGCGTGTCCTTTGCGCGCCTCGCTATCAAAAGTTTGGGGTTTTAGGGTTTTAGAGCTTAGGGTTTCGGGCGTCGGAGGTTTCAAGGGCAGAGGTATGGAAGAGATTTAAAGTTTAGGCTTGGGGCTTCGGAATTGGGTTTTTAGGGTTTAGGGATGGGACATGTCTTAGATGATTTGGGAATGGCTTTCAGTCCTGCTGCAAAAGAAGTTGTGCCAGTCCAAACGCTTGAAGTCCCTAAACCCTCGAGATACCCCAAAACCTAAATTCGATAAACTCTACCCCTAAAGCCTAAAAAACCCTAGATAAAGCGAAAAAGCCCTGGGCCCTAAGCCCTAAGCCCTAAGCCCTAAGCCCTAAGCCCTAAGCCCTAAGCCCTAAGCCCTAAGCCCTAAGCCCTAAACCCTAAACCCTAAACCCTAAACCCTAAACCCTAAACCCAAGCCCCAGGTTCAACCTGGAAGCCCGGTGGCTTCCTGGGCCCTTGCTGCAAGCTGCCTTTTCGGGCGATGCTGCCAAGGCTTAGGGTTTAGGGTTTAGGGTTTAGGGTTTAGGGTTTAGGGTTTAGGGTTTAGGGTTTAGGGTTTAGGGTTTAGGGTGTAGGGTGTAGGGTTTAGGGTTTAGGGTTTAGGGTTTAGGGTTTAGGGTTTAGGGTTTAGGGTTTAGGGTTTAGGGTTTAGGGTTTAGGGTTTAGGGTTTGCGGTTTAGGGTTTAGGGTTTGGGGTTTGGGGTTTGGGGTTTGGGGTTTAGGGTATCCCACAACCCAGGCAAGTGCCAAAAAGCCACCGACTCGCTGCATTTCCACCTGCCAGCTTGCGACTCCCTCCCCCCCCCCCCCTGCCTGTTCTTTTTGTTTTTTCTAATCTCGAAATATTTCCCTATAAGCTCTATGAACCCTATATCCCTAACAACCCTATGAACCCTATAAACCCGAAACCCCTTTGGGTTTTGAAGGGGGCCCAACCCGAGCAACCTCCCCTGGATCCCCCCCCCCCCCTGTGAAGCCCCTAAACCCTAAACCCTAAAAACCCTAAACCCTAAACCCTAAAGCTCAAGCCCTGAGGCTTCACACCCTGCCTCAGGGTTTCGGTGGGGTCTTAGGGGTCTAGGGTTCTAGGGACCCCAAACCCCAAACCCCAAACCCTAAACCCCAAACCCCAAACCCCAAACCCCAAATCCTAAACCCGAAACCCTAAACCCTAAACCCTACCCCCCCCCCCCCCCTTCAAGCAAAGAGGTTTCCAGCCTGGCCGAGCCGGGCCCCGCAGTGCGAGATGCGCTCCTCAGCCGTTCCGCGGCGCAGCTGGCCGCGGAGCCTTGGGGTGCCGTTTAGGGTTTAGGGTTTAGGGTTTAGGTTTTAGGGTTTAGGGTTCAGGGTTCAGGGTTCAGGGTTCAGGGTTTAGGGTTTAGGGTTTAGGGTTTAGATTTGCTTAAGAACCCCCCAAAGGAATATAAGATGAAAGTCTCTATATTGCTCTAGACAAGGAAGGAGCCTGACGCAGAAAGAGTGTGTTTCGTGCGGATTAGGGTTCATGTGTGGGGTTTGGAGGCGTGTTTTTTTGTTTTCGCGGCTATTTGTTGAGGTTTGGGGAGAGCGAGAGGTGGTGTAAATCCTCAGACCTCAGACTTAACTCTAGCCCGGCTGGCTGCGAAGAGACCTGGATGCAAAAAAGAGAGAGGTGGTGTTCGGCTGTGTTCACACCATATTCACGAAGCATAAAATGCACAGACAGTAATGCTGACGGAGCACCAAGTAACAACTTACATGGTAGCATGCACGAACAAAACCCTTGGCAAGCAATTGGCGAGTGGAACCTCAAAGAACACCCAATGGCCTTTTCCAAGGGCTTGTCGCGTTACAGTTACTGATGCCAGTACACGAATGCAGATGTAGGGAATGCCTACAAAAGTTGTAAGAAAAAACGTATATGAAGCATAACCCATTCCTGAGTCGAACTTGATGGGAAGCTTCATAAGTTTCAGGCTGTGAGAGTCTAGGCTTCGAGGCGATTTGGTTGGATCTTAACAAACCCTAAACCCTGCGGCCTTCGAAGGAGCAGGGCCACGTGGCCGTCTTGGAGGCGAACCGCGGGGAGGGTTGAGGGTTTAGGGAGTACCCTAAACCTAAAGCCATCTTATCACCCACAGAATTCTTTAGGGGAGAGAAAGCTTAAACCCCAGACCCAGAGCCCCTCCTTCCCCGCAACCTATAAACCCAAACACCCCCAAAGCGCTGAATATAACCCCAAACAACTCGAAACCCTAAAAGAGCAAGACCCTAAGCCCCCAAAACCCGAAACCGAGAGAGACTCCTGTGCCTGTGCTCCCCAACATCTCAAGAAGAACTTAAGAACCTGCCTTCAGGGACGGGGACAGCAGAACCCTTATCTAGACCCTATACCATCAGCCAGTTTGCACGAGAACAGGGTTTAGGGCTTTTTGGGTTTAGGGTTTAGCCCCAAGCCCTAAAACAAAGGCGCTGGTGTCTGCCGGTGCCGAGCTCTCCTCCGCCGAGGTGTTGGCGCATCGGGTTTCAGGGTTTTGGGCTTTACGATCGCCCCCTTAGGAATCATTGTATTTCAGTTATATAAAACCCAAGGGAATATTCAGGGTTGTGTTGAAAACAGAAAGGGTTCTAATTCTATGTAGAGGGTTGACGGAGTTCCACCATGCTTCTTGAGGAACCTTTTCGAGTAGGCATGCAGGGTGGCCGGTTTTCAAGCTGGCCATGCATCGGACCAAGCGAATCGTGGGCTTGTGGTTCAGGTTTTCAACAGGGTTTAGGATGTAAACAGGGTAAGGTTTAGGGTTTATGGTTGAGTCTGTAGCTTGTGGGTTTGCAGCTGTATCTTGCATGGGATGTCTCACAAACGAGGCATAGACAGGCAGACAGACAGCCGATCAAAACCCTTCGGCTCAGTTTCCACATGTTTGCGTGCCATGGCAACCCGGTATCTTTCTTAGCAAGGAACGTTCGGTGCAAGACAAATCTGTGCAGCATGATGGAAACTGCCCCACCGAGCACTGAGTTGATCGATATCCACTGCCCTACACGACTGGGCCAAGCAACAAACCTTCAGGGTCCACGTACCAACGTAGCATAAATTTGGGCCCCAAGGCTATTATGTAGGAACCCCTTTGTAACGCCTAAGGCCCCAGTATCTACCATACGGGTACATGGGCCCTTTGGAGAGGAATCCTCTAGATGTTTGAACAGTTAAACCCTTAGCCCCTAAGCCCTGTAGCCGCATGAAAAACCCTGAAAGCCATATAACCTCCTGTGCCTCCCACAGGGTGTAGGGCTTCGGGACGGGATCCCTCTGTCCGACATGCAAATTGGGGGTCCGACATGCAAGGTTGGGTTTTCGAGATGCAAACTTTCTTGGGGTCCGACATGCAAAGGTAGGTTTTCGAGATGCAAACTTGCGGCTTGGTGCCATGCATCTCGGGCGCGCGCTTTGCATCTCGAAAACCCAACCTTGCATGTCGGACGCCGCAGTTCCTGGTCCGACATGCAAGGTTGGGTTTTCGAGATGCAAACTCCCGATTTCCCATAAAATTAGTAAAATAGTAAAATAGTAAAATAGTAAAATAGTAAAATAGTAAAATCTGGGTCGGACCGGCACAGGTGGGTTTTCGAGATGCAAACTGCTGAGCCCGTGGAGGAAATCCTATTAAAAGTAAAGAGACAGTGAGGAATTTTCTCTGGATAATAGAATCCTGGTCCGACATGCAAGGTTGGGTTTTCGAGATGCAAACTCCCGATTTCCCGTAAAATTAGTAAAATAGTAAAATAGTAAAATAGTAAAATCTGGGTCGGACCGGCACAGGTGGGTTTTCGAGATGCAAACTGCTGAGCCGGTGGAGGAAATCCTGTTAAAAGCAAAGAGACAGGGAGGAATTTTCTCTGGATAATAGAATCCTGGTCCGACATGCAAGGTTGGGTTTTCGAGATGCAAACTCCCGATTTCCCGTAAAATTAGTAAAATAGTAAAATAGTAAAATAGTAAAATAGTAAAATAGTAAAATCTGGGTCGGACCGGCACAGGTGGGTTTTCGAGATGCAAACTGCTGAGCCCGTGGAGGAAATCCTATTAAAAGTAAAAAGACAGGGAGGAATTTTCTCTGGATAATAGAATCCTGGTCCGACATGCAAGGTTGGGTTTTCGAGATGCAAACTCCCGATTTCCCGTAAAATTAGTAAAATAGTAAAATGTAAAATAGTAAAATCTGGGTCGGACCGGCGCAGGTGGGTTTTCGAGATGCAAACTGCTGAGCCCGTGGAGGAAATCCTATTAAAAGTAAAGAGACAGGGAGGAATTTTCTCTGGATAATAGAATCCTGGTCCGACATGCAAGGTTGGGTTTTCGAGATGCAAACTCCCGATTTCCCATAAAATTTGTAAAATAGTAAAATAGTAAAATCTGGGTCGGACCGGCACAGGTGGGTTTTCGAGATGCAAACTGCTGAGCCCGTGGAGGAAATCCTATTAAAAGTAAAGAGACAGTGAGGAATTTTCTCTGGATAATAGAATCCTGGTCCGACATGCAAGGTTGGGTTTTCGAGATGCAAACGGCTTGGTGCCATGCATCTCGGGCGCGCGCTTTGCATCTCGAAAACCCAACCTTGCATGTCGGACGCCGCAGTCCCCTTCGGGACCCCCTAAAAACCCTTTGCTTTGGGATGTTCCCCCCTATACTAACAGTCCTCAATAGGGATCACAATAGGGGCTACTAGAATCCCTATTGAGGACGGAACATCGAAAACCCTAAACCCTAAACCCCCTAAACTCGGGCTTCTTGCTAGGCCGAGGCCTCTCCCCTGGCACTGGCCGCGGGCCGAGGCCACACGGAGGCGGTTGCCTTCCTCCAAGGCCGCTTAGTGAGGGTTTTTGAAGGGTTTTGAGGGTTTTGAGGGTTTTAGGGTTTTCAGTTCAGGGTTTTTGAAGGGTCTTTGAGATTTTTGGTGTTTTTAGGGTTTTTGAAGGGTTTTTAGGGGTTTTGAGGGTTTTTGAAGGGTTGTTAGGGTTTTTGAAAGGTTTTTGAGGGTTGGTTTTTTGTCGGTGTTTGAAGGGCTTTTAGGGGCTTCAGGGTTTTTGAGGGTTTTGAAGGTTGTTTGAAAATTTTTAGGGTTTTGTTGTTTTTGTTGGGGCTCTTAAGGCTTTTAGGGATTTAGGTTTTAGGGTTTTATAGGGTTTTTAGGTTTTTATGTTTTTTGAAGGGTTTTTGGGGTTTTGGCCTGGTGTTTTTTAGGGTTTAGGATTTAGGGTAGGGCTTTTGGCTTAGTGTTTTGTTTAGGGCTTAGGGTCGAGGGTAGGGCTTTTAAAGGGCTAGGCTTCATAGTTCTGGGGGTAGGTTTCAGCGGGTAGGTCTTCGCGGCTTAAGCTTGGATTTGCGAAGGGGGTGGCATTCACCAGCGTGGGCGGCGTGCTGAGTGCGTAGTCAGAGTGAACCCTAAACCCTAAACCCTGAACTGCTACTGAACTAGATCATAAACTGCCTCAAGCTAGGGGTCTCCGCATAAGATCATTAGGGTAAACTAGTTTCCCTCCGTTTTCACCCCAATGGATACGCCCCGATACCATACCCATATAGTCCCCTTCCATCCTCTGTGTAGTTGAGGGGCGCTTTGTGGGCCTATAGGGCATGGGCAGGGCCCGAAGCCCTTAGAGGAAAGGTAGGATTCAGGGCTTAGGGGCACCAGGGGGGGGGGGGGGGGTGCTGTGGAGGCCTTGCGTTCGGAGTTCACAGCTTCAACAAAAAAGAGGTCAAGTAAGGGATTTCAACTTCGATTGTATAATTCTATATGGAAGGGTCTGGCTGTAGGACAAGGAGATATGGGCCTTCTGTTCCGTTTCATCACAGAAGTTCGGGGGGATATAAAGGGTTTGCGCAGCTTGTGGGTTTCGTAGAGTGATCTCCGCCGCCAGAGGTTCGATAAGACTTCGTCGTCTGTCTGTCCAGCCCAGCTGAATTTAACTGTATCTTTGCATTTGTTCCTGGCTCGCCATGGAGGAGCAGCATGAGCCCGACTCACAAGTGGTACCTTTCGAGGTGCAGCAGGAGGAGCAGCGGGCGGAGGATCAGCTGGGCGGCACAGGTGTGCTAGTTCTGCTGGTTTGCTGTGCCCTGGTGCTCTTCAGTGTTCCTGCCATGAGCTACTACACCCCTCTTGGGAATAATTTTTTTATTTTGGTTTAAATTAAAACAAAGAGGATATTTAAAACATATTATTTTTATTAAGGTTGTAAGTGGAGTAAAGGCTACAACCTCTTCAAGCCCAGCCTCGAGTCGATTCTGGAACTACCACCTCCGCAGAGCCAGGCCATCGTGAGCAGCGCGCTCGTCGGGGGCATGGTCTTCGGCTTCATCCCTGGGATCGTCTACGATCGCTTTGGCTATGTGACCGCGCTCTGCTACGGCGGGATCTTCGCATGCTGTGGCGCCTTCCTGTGGTTTGCGGCACTTCAAGACGGTGGGGCCAAGGATGAACCAGGTTCCGCGACTCTTTGCTTGGCTTTTGCAGTGCTAAGCCACGGCTGCCGCTCCATGTACTTGGCAGGTACCTGTGCGGCGCTGCGTGCTTTGCCTCCGCAATACACGGGCTCCGTGGCGGCACTCTTGGCCATCTCAGTCTCACTCGGCTACATTCTGTTGCCCTTGGCCTGGCGAACCGTTTTCATGCCAGCACCGGATGATGAAAACTTCAATACCGAGACAGGGCTCCTGGCCAACCTCAAACCTGTCGCACACTTCTTCTTGTTCCTCACCATCACCTACGCCATCGCGACGCTGCTGGGCCTCTGCCTCGCGCCACTGCTGCCGCCGGCGAAGGCAACAGCCAGGTCCCTCGGAGCATCACGCTGGCAGAAGCTAAAGGAGCCCCCTGCAGTTTCAATGTTCTGCTTTGTGGCTTTGTCTATGGCCTTTACCTACACGTACCTGACGGGCGGCCTAGCTGCTGCCTCGAAAAGGGCCAATCCACCGGCGACTCCACAGGAACGAGCGACCGTGATCCTCTGGAATGGCATTTGCGGCATGGCAAGCCGCTTTGCCCATGGCTTCGGAACGGATCTGCTGCGGGTGAGGTGTGGGTTTGGTGACGCCGGGCTCTACTTGTCCCTGTGCTCCTCAGTAATCTTCTCCATCATGGGCTTCCTGGTGCTGATGTACAGCGAGAACTGGAAGGCGGCCACCTACCTCATCGGCTTCTCCTTTGGCGGTATGTTCTCCCTCTTTGCATCTGCGATCTGCATGATCTTCGGCAAGCAAGAGATGGGCTTCTGGATGGGAATTCTCTTTGTGATCCTTGGGGTCATGCACTCCGTCTACGGCCAGCTGGCCGTGCAGATCGACCCGTATACCTACTATCTCATCGGATGTGTTGCCGCAGCCGTCTCTTTGTCCTTCTTCCTGGCGCTGGCCTGGTTGAAGGCCGAGCGCACATAGCCTCTCATGCCGTGCAGATTCTAAACCACACGTCCGTGAACACCCTATATAAGCCCTCAACCCCAAACCAACTTAAGCCCCACTAAGATCCCTAGTTCGAGTCGCCTGCAGCGTGCGACTTTCGATGCTTGCGGAGCCCTAAGCCCTAAACCCTATAAGCCCTAAGCCCTAAACCCTATAAGCCCTAAACCCTCATCTCGGCTGCACGGACCAAGCCCAAGCAAGAATGGCGATGACGGCGCAAAGAGTACTTACGACGTGTACAGCTAAGAGTGCAAGGCAGGTTTTTGGCTTTTCTTTTTTTTTTTGGGGGGGGGGGGGGGGGGGGGGGGGGGGGATTTTAGCTTATGAAGCCGCGCTTACTGTATAGGGGGCACACCTACGGCATCTTTGGATTGTTTAGAGCAGTTTCAGACAGGAAGTTTCCACCATGTACCCTCATACATGCCTACACTTGGTCCTTTGCCCAAAAACCTAAACCCTAAGCCCTAAGCCCTAAACCCTAAACCCTAAACCCTAAACCCTAAACCCTAAACCCTAAACCCTAAACCTCAACTCTAAGGTCTTGGAGGTTTCGGGGCTGCATGGCCAAGACCCTACACCCCTCAAGCCCTAAACCCGCAATACGCAGTACGCTAAGCCGTACACCCCTATAGGGTTTAGGGTTTAGGGTTTAGGGTTAGGGGTTTAGGGTTTGGGGTATAAATTCCCCAACAAGCCCCGAAAAAGCCCCACAAAGCCCCCCAAAAGCCCCGTAAAAGCCCGCAAGCCCCAAAACCGCTACTGGTAAAGCTCTCAAGCTCCCCCAACAACCCCGTAAACCGCTCCCGGCACGCGAAACCCCGAAGTAGACCCATTGCTCTGATACAAACCCCTAAAGCCGCGCCCTACAACCCTATAATGACCCTACCACAAAACCTATCAAAACCAATAACCCCACAATCACCCCAAAAAATATATAACAACCTCTCCCCCCCCTCTCTCCTCGCTTTCAGATGCTGCCAGCCACCATGGCCCAGCGCTGGGGGCGGCGCTGGCCTCCGCGTCGGCCACTGGTCTTTTGGGAGTGGCTTAGTCCGTGGAGACCCAAATGAACCCTAAAAGTGGGTCCATGTACCCTGTACTGCTGTAATCCCTATTGAGGTTTATGAGCCATGAAACCTTTTAGGGTTCATGTCGTCCCCAAGGATTAGGAGACATTAGGGGCTTTCGGGGTCTTATTTATTTAGGGTTTTGGGTCAGAAGGGTCATTCTCAATCCCCATAAGTTGGGTACAGCAAAGTTGAAGTGCACCTTCAGGCGATCCACTAGGGCACTCCCCCAAAGGGGCCTTAGGGTACCCCAAACCCTCAACCACTAAGAATCGTTACACGGTTCTTTAATATGGTCACTTACCTCCTGGAAGGGGTTCTGAAGTATGGGGTCCCCATTCAAGGGCCCATACTGAGGGACCATGTAACTACCCTTCGACAACCCAAAGCTTCCACTCGACAGCCGCCTTCGGTGGCGGGTTTCGGGGGCTGATGCTCTGAGTCTGGGGTGAAAATAGGTTTAGGGTTGAACAGGGGGTTGGGGTTTATGGGGTTTATAGGGATTAGGGTGTACGGTCTCTGGAGTCAACAGGGTACATGAAGTCTCGTGGCCAGTTGCAACTGGGAATGTGAGTGAGTTGGGGTGGCGAAACTGCCTATACGTTCTTTGGAGGGATGCTGGGAACCGCACTTTCAACTGGTATACCTATTTTCCCCGAAATACCATGAGAATCACTTAAGCACCCCCGCTCGCTCGAGATGGCAGGCATCTGGACCGGATTCTGTATTCAGGGCATGGCCTTTACTACTCGCTTCTTAGGTCCGTGTAAGGCCCATCTCTGTACGCAAGGAGCGCGGCCATGTTGCAGTGGTGGCGCAGCTTGTGCTCAGCACCTGCGGCGATGACAGTCCCTCTAACCCTAAATTCGCCCTCAACCCCCCCTTCATCCATGGGTTCAGCTACTCCGACATCTCCCCAAGCAGTGTCAGAAGACCCTAGTTGAAGGCCCTTATTGTAAGCAATTCAAGCCAAAGAGCCTTGGATGTTCTGAGCTTTGGGTCTTAAGAAGCAACGAGCGCGACCTAAAGCCCTAAACCCTTACCCCATAATGAAAACCCAAAACCACACAAAGCCCTCAACCCCACAAACCACAGGTTTGGTTTAGGGTTTACGGGTTTAGAGGTTCCGGGGCACCTTTTTACAGTCACAGCAGGCCAGATGCAAACGGGGTTTAGCATTAGGTTTTAGCCCTGAAAAGTCCGGTTTCAAAAGGGTTTAGGGCTAAAGCCTCCTGAACCCCATGGCGATGTGTCACCTAACGGGACCTGCAAGCCAAAGCCTTGCCCTGCCTTGCGCGTGCGAGAGTCGGAGCCCCTACACCCTAAATAACAAGCCCGAAGCCCCAAGCCCTATAAACCCCATCTAGACCCCTAAACCCAAAATAACACAAAAAAAATCTAAGCCCACAGAACACTGGAGCAACTTAGCCCTAGACCCTAAACCCTAAACCCTCAGCCCCAGACCCTAAGCCCTGAACCCTAAACCCTAGCCCTAAACCCTTAACCCCTCAAGGCCACTGGAGCAACTTACAAGCGGGCGCCCCTCGAGCTTTGGCAGCCGCAGCCAGGGCCGGCCACGCCACCCTGGTGCGGCTCGATGTGAAGAAGTTTAGGGTTTAGGGCTAGGGTTTAGGGTTTCGGGTTTAGGGTTCAGGGTTTCGGGTTTAGGGTTTAGGGTTTAAGAGTCTAGGCGGCTTCGGGTTTGGGGTATTAAGCCCTGGGGGTGGTGTTTGTTTTCAGGTCTTGAGGCCAAAGGCTCACAGGGTTTATGTAGGGTTCAGGGTTTAGGTAGGGTTCAGGGTTTAAGGGTTCGGGGTACGGTTTAGTCGGGTTGGTTGGGGCCAAAAAGCCAAAAGAAGTTACTGTGATCGCTTAACTGCGAAGCCAAGAAAGGATGCTGAGGTGCGCGCCGTGCCCGCCAAGATCTTTCAGGGTGTAGGGTTTGGGGGTTTAGGGTTTACGGTTTAGGGTTTAGGGTTTTGGGGTTTAGGTTTTTAGGGTTTAGGGTTTGGGGTTTGGGGGTTTAGGTTTTTAGGGTTTAGGGTTTAGGGCTTAGGGTTCAGCATGCATCAAATGAACCTTGAGAAGGGATCTCGTGGGCAGAGGGAAAAATGAGGTGCAATCCTTCTAAAGCCATCGAAATTAGAAGTTTACCGGGCCCCCAAACCTACCCCAGCTCAGATTTGGTCCCAAAGCTTCAACCATAAAGCCTCGGCAGTGTGGTGTGAGGCTGCCAAGCAGATGGGCAAATTTAAAGTCCGCAGCCTACTATCTGGTGTAGGTTTTCATAACAACACCCCGTGTAAGATCCATGGGGTAGCCAGTGCCCCTACCAAAAGAAGACGGTGTTAAGCTTGTAGGGTCCAGAGTGGGCCGTGAATCCCCTGTTATAGCCGTTCGGTGACCCTGAACCCTAACCCTAAACCCTAAGCGTGCCCCACACAAAGGGCACGCCAAATGCAACCGTCGAGGCAGTACCTGCTGGACGCCGGCGTGCTGCTTGGACAGCTGTAGCCCTCTCATAGCATCACCGCCCCAAAACTTTCGAGAACCCAAACCCCACTTTTTGATAAATTACCCAAGAATCCGATGAGAGGCTTGATATTGAGAACCTACAAAGTAGGTTTTGGGTTCTTCAGGTATGGCAGCTCACGGAATACGCGCCTGAGAGCATGATTGCTAGCATGCCACATCGGGTAAATAGGGTCCGGCAGGGCTTTTAAGGATGTTTGAACCTGTGATAGAGTGTTGTCGGATTCCTGCTGAGCGGTTCGTCCAGCTATATATGCGGGTGCCAAAAGAGAAATCCTAAACCCCAAACCCTAAACCCTGCACCCCCAAACCCCTAAACCCCAACACGAGCGTGAGAGTCGAAACCCAAAGAAAACCTTTATGCCACGGAATCCGTCAGCTGCCTTCATCCGCTTTTGCTTTTCTTGTTTTTTGAAGCCCCGGGGTTTGGAAGAGGTTCACAGGCCTGATTCGGCCTGTTGCTAAGAGAATCCAGCGTTGAGGTTTCAGAGTCCTGGGCGTGTTGGATGTTCCCCTTATACTCACAGTCCTTAAGAAGGAATACAATAGGGGTACGAGAATCCATATGAAGGACTGTTAGTGTAAGGGGGAACGTCCCAAGTTCAAACCCGAAACCCTAAACCCTTTCAACAGGGCGTACTTCTAGGATTCACATATTAGGCTCGGCCTCTGGTTTTTCAAACGCTTGACCTTTTCATTCCCTGGCTGTAGCCCAGTAAATGGGAGAAGTAAATGCAACTGCAACCCTAAACCCTAAGCAACTCCTGGCAGGGCTCGGGATGCTCAAAACAAGATCACCTTCCTGCACGCCAACCCCAACCAAAATATCGCAAAAGCACCTGAAACCCTAAGCCCTAGCTCTAGCCTCCCCCCCCCCCCCCACCCCTCCCCCCCCCTTCCCCCCCGTCCCCTCCCCCTTCCCCCCCCCCCCTTCCCCTCCTTACCCCCCCCCCCCCTTCCCCCTTTCCTTTGGGGGGAACAAAAGAAGAAACCCTTAGCCCCTAAACCCCAACCCGAAACCCCTAAACCCTAAACACCCTCCTACAATTACAAGGCCTGTGGATGGGCCCGAGCTCAGGCGCGTTGCTGCTCGAACCCAGAGTAGGGTTTAGGGCTGCTCCTTATTCCCTTTTGGGGGTTTAGGGTTTCGGGCTATTCCTTATTCCCTTTTGTTACGGTTCAGGGTTTAGGGCTACTCCTTATTCCCTTTTTTTTTTGGGGGGGGTTTGACTGAGGCTGCTTTTTGTAGTTTTGCGCCGCACTCAGAAGTATGAGTTGCCATCAGTTCTAGCCATTAGCGACTCCCCTGCATGAGGGTGTAGGTTCCCTCCCTTATAAGCTCCTTTAAGCCAAAACAGGCACCCTTTTATTCCGGGTTACGCCTGGGTCTAGTTTCTTCCTGTTTTCGTACTTGCGTGTGTGCAATCTCGGCAGGGCAAACTAAAACCCCTAAACTCTAATCCTTACGCTACTATTTGCTTAGAAATTAAGAACCCCCAAAATATTAAAGACAATAATCCCCTTATTACCCCTATAGGGAAGAATATTTTTGCATGTGGTGGTTTCGTAGGCAAACAGTAGTAAATTCTTAAAGGGACTAACATCCACGAATACACCTTTACGAAGGCTCGCAGAATACAGCAAGAAACACCCAAAACCTACGGACCAGGAATCGGAGAGGACTCAACGTTATATGACTTTGATGAATTGGAAGCAGCCCACAAGCACCATCGAAAACTCCAAACCCTAACCCTGGGTCCTCAAAAACCACGTGAAGGCCCAAGTCATGAAGTCAAATCCCAGGCACTCTAAACCTAAACCTCAGAGCCTTGGGCTTAGGGTTCAGGGTTTCGGCTGGTTTAGAAAACCCGAAACCCGAAACCCGAAACCCTAAGACTCTTGGGAAGGCAGGCGACCAATGAAGCGGCGACCCGCGACCACATTGAGGCGCCCCCTCTTCCCCTGGCGCGCTTATGGACTTAAGGATCAATGCTCTTTACTTGGAGGTTCATGGTACTTAGTAACCCAAATATCACCGTACTTATACCCCAATCATAGCCACATTAGGGCAGTTAAAGGGGCTTGTAAGTGGGTGATAAGTACAGTTATAATTGGCAGAAGAGGGTTATATGCACCATGAACCTCCAAGTACCTTGTGGACGAAGTCAACCCAAAAAGGGTTTAAGGTTCATATACTGAAGTAAGGGTGAAAGTGGTATGGGGGTATATGACCCCAACTTTTTGTTCATCTGGTCCCCAAGGTAAACTCTAAACCTGAACAAACGTCTGTAGAGCCCAAACCCTGAACTCTAAACCCGAACAGCCGGCGGTCAGAGGTCTATAGTGCAGTTGGCATGTTTGGGCACTCAACTCCTTGGCGGGTGGTCTAAACCCTAGGATCCCGGGAGGGCCCCTGCTTGACTGCCTGGGGCCATGCTTGGGTCTGAAAGCAGTTCGGACCCTTCGGGGGTGTAGTGGTTTGGGGTTTTAGGGTGGGCAGAAAGGGCAGCAGTCGAGTCCCTTGTGAAAAGGGTTTGGGGTTTAGGGTTTAGGGTTCAGGGTTTAGGGTTTAGGGTTCGGGTTCAAAAAGGGTTTAGGGTTTAGGGCAAAGTTTCTGAGTCAATGGGCAGTTACCTGGTCCCTGAAGATGGTCCCATACCTTCCTTACAGGGTTCTGAAGTGCGTGCCCTTGCGTTGCAGAGGGTATCCAAGGGTTATAGAAGTGTTCCCCAATGAAGGGCATTGTGATTAACCTAAGCTATAATCATCTAATCGTATAAAGAGGGCATTGCAACTAGCCGTTAGACCCTTGAGATTAGTGCCTTAGCACGTTGAGACGGTGTGCTGGTTGGGTGCATGTGCCCTTGGGAAGATGTGATCTCTAGCGGGTACTTCGTGTGGCTGTGACCCATTTGATGCCGCGAACGTTTTATGTACTTGTCTTGCTGGAGAGCCTGTAACAATCCGTTTGTGTAAAGATGCATGCTGCGAAACTTTTCAGCCCGTTCGTGAGGCTGGAGTGGTCGTTGAAGTTTCCTGTCTGAGTAGTGAGCGGGCCGCAAAAGTGAAGGCAGAGGTTTGTGCCTGGCATATGTCGGAGCAGACTGCTGCGTGAGGGGCGGCTCACTGTTTTGTTGAGGGGCCTCATTGCGCTGCTAGACTCTCTGGATTCAACGGCAGAGAGAGAGAGAGTGTGTGAGATACCCTGAACCCTAAACCCAAAACAGCGTTTGGAACGCGAGAGAGAGAGAGAGAGAGAGCACTCGCAGGCCCGAAGAACTAGTTTCAGCCAAGAAAGAAATAAAAATGGAAAATAAAGACAACAAGAAAGAAATAATGAAATAAAATAAAAGAACAGAAATTTGAAAATAAAAGAAAAGAACAGAAAAGAAAAGAAAAGAAATAAACAAAGACACCCTTAGATATTCATATGAGAGAAGCTTTGCTGCAGGTGGTGGCGTTGCTGGCGGATGCAGGCGCCAGTGCAGACCGAGGGGGGTTCGGCCTGGAGGTTTGAGCTTGACAGGGTTTAGAGGTGCATTGGGCTGTAGGGTTTAGAAGTTTAGGGTTTAGGATTTTAGGGCCTAGAGTTTAGGGTTTCAGGGTTCAGGGTTCTGGGGTTCTGGGGTTTAGGTTTAACTTGAGGGTCCACAAGGGGCAGAGGACTGACGTGAATCAAACCCTAAACCCTAAACCCTAAAGGGAGGCTTCGGCTTTGAGAGTTCATTTATTTAACACCGATGTGCGGGACACCGGCCTGGTCCTTCCTCCTAAGCCCTCAAGAGACACTGCCTTAGATCTTTGAGGTGGTGCATTTAGGTTTCGGGACCCTTTTTCTGCAGGATCCCCAAGGTAGTATAAGGGCCATGTTAGGCGCATACAAAGGGCAGCCTTTAGGCGTACAACCTTAGGGGTACGAGTCTCAAGCCCTTGAAACCCTAAACCCTAAACCCTAACAGCTCAGGGAACGAGGTGGTTGCAGAAGTAAGATCACCAAGTACCCCAAGTTGTCCGGGTTTATCAAGGTGTTTGGGGTGGTTGGGCTTGGGGTTTCGGGTAGGGTATATGATCTTCTTGTGGTACAGCAGTGTTTGCATTTCCCCTCCTAGACATTTCCGGCTCGGAAGAACTCCTGAACCGTTCAACCCTAAATCGAGACAGAGGTGTCAACTTCACAGAGGTGGATCGCATCTTGCCAGAAGGTACCACCGAGACAGGCTTGTTCCCTCTAGGACCTGGGAACTCAATCATGAAGTCGTAGCCTCTAAATGGCGGGGTTTCCGAAATTAGGGTACCTCATTGGGGTCCATTTTATCAGGGATCCTACGATCTGGGGATCTATCTTGCGGGGGTCCCCTTTTAAACCCCCGAATAAATCATTGCATGCCTCGCTCACTTCTGGGTTTTGGTAGTTCAAGGGGGCGTCATGCTAATTAGGTTTGCAAGGGTTTAGGGTTTAGGGTTTAGGGAGGATGGGTCGGATGTGGGCTTGTGGCTAGGTGTTGCGGCAACCGTTTTGGTCCGTATGCACTTCAGCGAATACAGCAGCCTCAAGAGATACCAAGATCGTCTCCCAGAGCCGTACATACCCATAATGTAAACTTCCCCAAATACCCACCCCCCCCCCCCTCCCGCCGCCCGCCCACCCAAATACAACGTGGAAGTGCACGCCCAACCTAAACAAAATTCCCCCCTCTGCCTTAAAGCCTTCGCCGTAAGCCACAGAAACCCACACCGACAAATGACAAGGCGTCTGTACTCCAAGCCTCCAGGTTTAGGGTTTACGGATCCGACTGCTCGAGTCAACCCTAAACCCTAAATCCTAAACCCTAAACCCTAAACCCTAAAGAGTCCGGAGCCAGGTGCAAGAGGGCTTAGGGCTCAGGGCGCTAAGTTGCGAATTGACGTGTTAAGGGAGCCATCTTTCATGACGCAGTTCGGCAATTCCCTAAATTCCTAGATCTTCCAAAACCCCTTAATTACGGAATATCCCGGATCCCCTAATTCATAATAAGGATCCTTAGTAAAAAACACTTCTATTCCTTAAATAAGGGGTTTTGGAAGATCTGGGTAGGTTGATTTTGTCCCAGCGTCTTCCGTGTCTTGCATAGCTATTGCTGTTCTTCAAATTCGATGATTTGCACACACACACACACACTCACACACCGAAAGACCTCCAAGCACACCCCAGTTAAGGCGAAGGCAAGACGCCTTTACTGAATGCCGCTGCGGGCGGCCACAGCGACATGGTACCCCTTCGCGATACAAGGGCGTTGTTTTGAGGTTGAGGGTTTAGGACTTTAGGATGTAGGGCTTCTAAATTGTGAGGGTTTAGGGCATATACGAGTTCGTCTTATGTTGGGGTCGCTCTGCACAATGAGGCTCCGTATTCCAACAGGGACTCCCCAAAAAAATCATTCAAACTGAAAAACAGGTTGGAAAACTAAACCCTAAGCCCTAAGCCCTAAACCCTAAACCCTAAACCCTAACTGTTCCAACCTTGAGGGCCCACAGGCTTGGAAAGGGCCTCCTTGTTGCCAGTCGTTGTGCGTGGGATTGAAGGACTCAAGATACGGAGAATGTTTCAGCCAGAGGGTTTAGGGTTTAGGGCTTAGGGTTTAGGGTTTAGGGTTTAGGGTTTTAGGTTTAGGGTCTAGGGTTTTAGGCTTAGGGTCTAGGGTGGCCAGTGCACGCCTCGAGTTTTCACATCGAACTCATGCAGGTTTGGGTTTAAGGGGTTCCCTGAAAAGCCCTTTTCAAACCAAAAAGGCACCCTTTTGGTAAGTATAGTCTATAGTAGCAAGCTAAACCCTAGCCCTAAACCCTAGCCCTAAACCCTAAAGCCTAACGCCCTAAACCCTAAACCCTTTAAACCCTAAACCCTAAACCCTAAACCCTAAACCCTAAACCCTAAACCCTAAACCCTAAACCCTAAACCCTAAACCCTAAACCCTAAACCCTAAACCCTAAACCCTAAACCCTAGCCCTAAACCCTAAACCCTAAACCCTAAGCCCTGAACCTCCTCAAAAAATCCCAGAGTACGCTCCCTCCTGAGCCCCTCGAGGTAAAGCTCCTGCTGCGCAATTGCGGGTGCAGCTCCTTCCACCAAACGCTTAGCCAGGCTTAGGTCTTTGGGGGGTTTAGGTAGGGTTTAGGGTTTAGGGTTTAGGGTTTAGGGTTTAGGGCTTAGGGCTTAGGGCTTAGGGCTTAGGGTTTAGGGTTTAGGGCTAGGGTTTAGGGTTTAGGGTTCAGGGTTCAGGGTTTGTATGGTTGAGTCGTTGGACTTCAAACATGTTCGGCTCTCCTTCTTCGTGGGTGTGCGGTAACCTTCGAAAGTTCTTTTGTGCCATATCGCCCTGTAGGCCAAGGATAGATCCCTCTCTCCCCCTGAAAAACTCAGAAACCCTAAATCAGGCAAGCGATGCCGGCTGCGTGCCCTAAACCCTAAAACCCTTAAATATTAAAGTTATTACCCTTACTTAACCCCTAAATAAGCGCTAAACCCTCAACCCTTAAATATTGAAGTTAATCAAAAAGCCCCCAAATCCTTAGTTAAACCCTAGACCCTGAAACCTAAGCCCTAAACCCTCCAGTTCCGAGGTGTTGAGACGCGGGATCGGCAGGGTGCCACCGCGTTACATTGGGCGGCCACGCGCGGGCACCGCAGTGTGGTGGAGGAGCCCTTTGGAGAGTGAGTAGGGTTTAGGGTTTAGGGTTTCGTTATGGCAGCAGCAGTAACAGCAGGGCCTACATTGTCTCCGCTGATCCCAGTTGACATAGACGCGGCTGTTTGTGCACTACGTCTGTGTTTTGCGATTTTTGAATGCATCCCCCCCCCCCCCCCTCCCCAAGGGTTTACAGAGATCGCGGCCGAACATATGCATTTCACTGGGGGCGAGCTTGTGGTTCCAGTACGAGCCCCACCCGAACAGGGTGTTCAAACTCGTCTTCGTCAGGAGCTCGTGGCATTTGGCGCTGACCTGGACCCTTGGCGGGTTTTCATAGCGGCCACTGCAAACCCCAATTGGGAATTAAGGAATGATTGTATAGGGTGACAGGGTGTGATAAGGTGGCTCATCCCCCTATATATACATACCTATACCTCATGCCACACCCATCTGAATTCGCGGCCGCGAGTTAGCGCAGTTGGTTTGGGGCTTAGTTAGTTCGGGCTTAGTTATAGGACTGGTAGGGCCTCTTGAACGGGATGCGGATCAACAAAACTATTTACGATCAAGAAAAACTATTTAGGATCAAGAAAAAAGTATTTAGGATCAACAAATAATTTGTTCTGTTCTTCTGCTGGCGAGGGGGAACCGGAGGGAGGGAGGGAGAGAAGAAAGGGCGGAAGGACGAAAGGAAGGAAGGAAGGCAGGAAGGAAGGAAGCAAGCAAGGAAGCAAGGAGAAGGAAGCAAGGAAGCAAGAAGCAAGAAAGCAAGGAAGCAAGGAAGCAAAGAAGCAAGGAAGCAAGGGGAAGAAGGAAGGAAGGAAGGAAGGAAGGAAGGAATAAATCAAGAAATCAAGAAAGAAAGCAAGAAAGAAAGAACAATGAAAGAAATAACAAAAAAAGAAGCAAGGAAGAAGTCGTGCCAGCTTGCTTCAAAGCATACGCATTTTTTCGAAACCCATTACGTTGTACCTGTATCGGGGAAGAAATTTAGCCCCACTGAAAAGCAAAATTGCCCCCACTTTCCCTAACTCATCCAGTCCGGAGGCTTGCAGTGTATAAGGGGCACGGGCTATGGCATCAAGCCCTACACACTAAACCTTAAACCCTAAACGCACGAGGGTGGTAGCTGGGTAGCCTGCGCGCGTGAAGCCTCGACCCAAAAGCCGCCTGGCTCGTCCGGGTTCTGAGCGATCCGACCCTCAAGCTTCCATGCCCCCCCCCCCCCCCCCTATCCCTCTAGGGTTTAGGGTTTAGAGATTAGGGATTAGGGTTTAGGCATTACTGTAAGGTTTTGGGTTTAGGGCCAAACAAAAGAACAAAAGTCAAAAGAAGAGTGTTAATACTCATTGTAAGAGTAATAAGAAGAGCAGTAAGCATATTATCGCAGTCATTCGTTTCAAAAAGAATAACGAGCATACCCTCAGAACAAGACACATAAGAACAACATGCACAGTGAGAACAGCCAGAAGAAACAACCTGCCAAAACCCTAAATCCTAAACCCTAAACCAAGAACAGCGGCGGGTAAAGACATACTAAGAACCAACAAGAAGAGCAGCAAGAAGAAGAACAACCCCAAACCCTAAACGCTAGACCCCAAACCCTAAACCCTAAACCCTAAACCCTAAACCCTAAACCCTAAACCCCTAAACCCTAAAGCCTACGAACCCTCCCCCAGGATGCCGACTGCTTCGGCCCGGCACCTGGCCGGCCACTGCACTGGGCTGTGGAGCAGCCAGGTCCGCACATGCAAAGTTGAGGGGCGCCCTAAACCCTAAACCCTAAACCCTCAACCCTAAACCCTAAACCCTAAACAGGGTCTAGGGTTGAAGGTTTCGAGTTTAGGTTTAAAGTTGAGGTGGTTGAGGGTCTAGGGTTGAAGGTTGAGGGCTGAAGGTTAAGTTAAGGGTTGAAGGTGAGGGTCTTTCTCTTTGATCGGACTCAAGATTTTTAAGTCATTTTTTGTTGTTTTTATTTAGCGCACGTTTGTTGTGTGCGTGTGTGTGTGTGCGCGCATTTGGGGGGGGGGGGGGGGGGCGCTAGTTTTGCGCGCTTGGGGTTTTGAGGGGTTGCAATGATTGTAATGGGGCCTGTAGAATAGGCCGTTAAGGCCTTCTGAGCCTAAAGTAGGCTCTTGAGTTTTTCCATATGGGTTCGACTTCGTAGGCCCTACTTGGTTCATGTGCTGTTGGAGGTAAGGCTATAGGCACCTTCATTAGAGTATAATTTTGCGGTTTAGGGTTTAGGGTTTAGGGGGGTTGCACCCTAACCCTAAACCCTAAACCCTGAACCCAAAACCCAAAACCCTAAACCCTTCAGGGTTCATTTCTACTCGCAGCTCCCTGCAGACGTTGTCCAGCTGCTTCTGGAGCTGCGTGCCGACGTCGGAACCGCCAAGGCTTGCGATAGACAAACCTCCTACCCTAAACCCTAAACCCTAAACCCTAAACCCTAAACCCTATAAACCCTATAAACCCTATAAACCCTAAACCCTTTGTCAAAGATCCCTTGCGGTTTTTTTGGGGGCAGGGCTTGGCAAAAGCGCCTACTAAGCCTGACTCAAAGCAGGGAGCACTCCCTGAAAGCTCTACTTGGAGGTTCATGGTACTCATTAACCAGTTATAACTGTACTTGTAACTGTACTTCTAACTGTACTTATAGCCATAATAGGGCACTTAAGGGGCTTATAAGTGGGTTATATGTACAGTTATAATTGGTGAATAAGCATCATGAACCTCCAAGTAACATTTATGGCACTTGGGGGGGGGGGGCCTCCCCTTGCAACACTTCGAAAGGTTAACCCCTAAAGCCCAAAAGCCTAAACATCCGCAGCCAGATCAGCCCTTTGGCCCTAAACCGAACCAGGCCACGAACCAGCATTCTCAAATGGACTCTTTGGGTTTAGGGTTTAGGGTTTAGGGTTTAGGGTTTAGGTTTAAGGTTTAGGGTTTAGGGTTTAGGGTTTAGGGTTTAGGGTTTAGGGTTGTCGCATGTCCGGCTTAGGGTGTAGGACTTAGTGTTCATGCTTGAGGGCTTGAGCCGAGAGGTGCGCCCCAGCATTACACCGCCCCCGCGTGGCGACGTCCTCGTCCGCTCCGGCGATGTTCTGGCATGCGCCCCGAACCTACAAGACCCAAGCCCGAAACCCTAAACTAAACCCCCGAAACCGCAAAACCCGGTGGACGCCCGACAAAACACTGAGCTGCCCTATTGAGCGTCGCCTCGTCCCACGTAGAACTTCCTTTACATCCCTTGGGTAGCCCACAAGTTTTCAGGAAGTACAGAAACCCAAAGCCCCTACGGAGCCCTGAAGGTGTAGATCCCTAAACCCTTAATTGCTAAACCCCAAACCCCAAACCCTAAAGCCTAAACCCTAAACCCTAAACCCGAACAAGGATCCTTGTTGTAACTCTCAGGGGAGTTTCCTTCATTAGGGGCTCGGATCGTGGTGAGTCGTGGCTGAACAGGCCATACTTGGCAGCCCCGTTTAGGGTTTAGGGTTTAGGGTTTAGGGTTTAGGGTACTCTAACCCGGCGGGCTGCGAGAGACCTGGATGCAAAAGAGCCTTGTGATGGAACCCAGAGGGTCCATTTGTAGTACTATGATGGAATTAGGTATCCAAAAACCCTATATAGTATGGTTTTTGGGTACCAATTTTTGTTTCAAATAGTCTGCAAATGGACCTCTGGGGTAGGTTGCATGCCTGGGAGGTACGCACGCGGCAGAAGTCCTGCAGAAGCGCGGCGTGCCCGCCTCCGCGGCAGGCAATTGAGCCCCACAACTTCCACACGATAACCCCTCTAGGGTTTAGGGTCTAGGGTTTAGGGTTTAGGGTTGATAGTGCAGAGCCTGGGTTCAAAAAAAGGGTTTAGGGTTTAGGGTTTAGGGTGTAGGGTTTAGGGTTTAGGGTTTAGGGTTTGCAGTTCAGGGCTTGGGGTTTGAGAGAGCCCTGGCGCAAAAAAGGGTTTGGGGTTTGCGGTTTCCGTTAGCGGTTGAGAGAGCTGGGCCTTCGGGATCCTAAGCCCATCCTGAGGGTTTAGGGTTTAGGGTTTAGGGTTTAGGGTTTAGGGCTCCCGGTAAAGCCCCACCGAACTCCCAAAAGCAAGCCAAGAGACCCCGTACTTTTGAGCGGATAGCCCCGAACCCCAGGTTCCCTGAAGCGTATCAAACAACCCAAACAATGAGAACCCCGCAGCTCCACCCAAACTATATTGAAACAGCAAGTCTTAACCCCCCCTCCCCCCCTCCCCCGAACATTTCACGCAAAAAGTGCCATAAACCCTAAACCCTAACCATAAACTTCAGGGCCCAGGGCGTAGGGTTTAGGGTTTTGGGTTTAGGGTGACGCACAAACAGGGCCTATCGGGTTTCGGCCGATGCCAGGGGCTTAGGGAATTGTTTTGGGTTTCTTTGCGGCGCGCTAAACCCTGCCCGGCACTCTCTTTCCCCTACAGCTTTATGGGTTCTACCTACTGATAAAGGGGTATTTACTACTACTCAACTGCAGGCAAATAGAGTGCCAGGGAACTGTTGTTGAACGTAGATAAGATTTATTTTCGGTCGTCGGCTATTGTTGAAGGGTCAGTGTATGGTTTATAAGGGTTGATGGATTAATTTATGACATGGCATACCATCCCCATAAGAAGCCCTATTCAGGGTCTCTTTCAGGGGGGCCGCAACCCTACAACACTCGAAGCCCTCCTCAGTGCAGCGCTTTACAGGCTCAGACTCGCAACAGCTCACGCCAAGTAGTCCAGCACAGATGGCACGCCTCGGAGCCCGTGTGCTTGCGCTCGCCGCCGCCGCCGGCGTGGCCGTGTGGACCCAGACCCTGGTACCTGACGTGAGGGTGTGTAGGGGGTTATTTTACTACTGTGATTCTTATTGATTTGGCACCTACATCATTACTATTGCTATTTACTTTACGCTTACTCTATTGTAATTATTTATTTGAATAGACAGACCTGCCAACGAAGGTGAGTCTCTGTTTTGATTGCACATTGCTTCTCGGTGTAGATGCACTGGCCAGCGAGTTCTTCAGGCTTTACAACTTTTTCTGGGTTTGTGTTTGGACTTCTGTTGTTGCTGCAGGGTTCTTAAGGGAGGGGGGTTCAAGGGGAGTATATAACCCAAGGTGCCCTAATCCTACTACTCCCTAAGGCTCCCTGAGTTTTTTAAGGTTCTCTAGGTACCTACCCCTCCTTCCTTAAGAAGCCTATAAGAAAGGTGGGGGGATTGAGGGTTTAGGGTCTAGGGTTTAGGGTTTAGGGTTTAGGGGGTGCAGCATGCTTCGGAGCCCAGGACGTGCCTGAAGGCGTTCTGCGGCAGCTGGTTGAGCCGTCCAGAAGGACTTGATGGCCTCAGGGCTAGTCCCAAACCCCCCACCCCCCCCCCCCCCCCCCCCCCCCGAGTCCTTATCCCTAAACCCTAAGCCCCCCCCCAAAGCCCTTGTCACTTTTCCCTCCCTGAACCCCAAACCCTAAACCCCAAACCCTCAACCTCAGGAGTGAAAAAAAACCCTCAACCTCAAACCCTAAACCCCAAACCCTAAACCCTAAACCCAAAACCCTAAAAACTGTGTGGTGTTTGTCCGACTTTGTCCTGAGGATGCTGGGTCTGTCTAGCTGTTCTGAGGCTTCTGGCCGTGCTATCATCAACTCTTAGTACAAGGCTCGAGCACGCCTCACTCGTTGTTTGTGTTCTTTCTTGCGCGAAAGCGTTATGCATAATGGTGGATCTACGAACCCTAGTCCGACTGGGTGGCTGCCCCGACCACTTCGCAACCGTTTGCCAGAATCTATTTAGTGCAGTTCGATTGGCTGTAAGAACGACTCCGTAGACTAAACCCCAAACCCTAAACCCTCAACCCTAAACCCCAAACCCCAAACCCTAAACCCCAAACCCTAAACCCCAAACCCCAAACCCTAAACCCCTAAACCCCAAACCCCAAACCCCAAAAACCTTAACCCCAAACCCTAAACCCTAAACCCTAGCCCCTAAACCCCAAACCCTAAACCCTAAACCCTACCTTCCCCGGGTAGGAGCTGCCGTGGCTCGCAACGGCTGGCGCCTGGACAAGATGGAGGCTCGAAGCTCCCATCATCTGTGAGTTTAGGGTTTAGGGGTTAGGGTTTAGGGTTTAGGGTTGGACAGGAGATTCGCCAATTTAGCGGAGGTTGCCTTTGGGTTTAGGGTTTAGGGTTCCGGGTTTTCACTTTAAGGACTTTTCGCCACACGCCTCGGCCTCAGCACGGGTTCAAAAAAGGGTTTTAAGGTTCTTACCTCTCCTTTAGTTGAACTTGAAACTTTTTGGGTTTCCTTATTCAGTAGGAATATTAAAGTTTAACCGTTTTCCCCCCTCGGTTATTGGAGAAGTAACCCTAAACCCTAAACCCTAAAGTTCAACCTTTTGTCCCCTGGGTTCTTGGAGAAGTACGGGTTAGGGTTTATAGGTTTTATAGGGTTTTGCCATCTCTCCCCGTCTCTCCCCTGCTCGCAGATTGATTGCTAGTTGAACCACCAAACCCTGAGTATGACTGAACTCGTAAACTAGATCCCCAAAGCCTGATTTTATGATTGCGCTCTAGACCTGGTTCCCTAAGCCCTGATCTCGATTGAACTCTAAATCTAGATCTCTAAACCCTGATTCTATGATTGAACTCTTAACCTACATCCCCAAACCCAGATTCTGATTGAACTCTAAACCTGGATCCCCAAACCCCGATTTTATGAGTGAACTCTAAACTCTAAACCACAAACCCCAA